GGTACCTGTAGCGCATACCGTTCGTGTATCCACTTCAGTTGTGTAAAGTTATAAATTCTTAAGTTCTTCACATGTATGCATACCGGTGTGATGCGTCCACGGCGATATGGGCTACAGTGAGATCGATTTTTACAAGGAGATGTACGTTGTACGGGGAGGCAGCAGCAGACGAGAGGTTTGATGGTGATACCCCAGTAGGTTGGAGTTCTTCTGGGCGGTGGGCTGGGGCTATCATTTTTTGTAAGTGGTTCCGCCGTGGTCGAACGTTTGCCGACATGAAGCCGCGCAGCTTGTAGCCGCCCATGGTGTCGGGACTCCTGTCTCTGCCCCCCTCCCTCCCCCCCTCCCCGCTCGTTCGTCTTTGCTGGGCGCGCGCGAGCTGTTCTGGCTTTCTATGAAATACGTAATCTTGGAAAGACACGAGAAGAGTTTGAGCGTCTGACGAGCGTACAGCTGCGGTACTACGTACCTAATTCGCCGCTTGTTTTTGCCTAGCCCTTGTGTGTCGAGGAGGATATTGTTGTCTTTGCGCACTACGACGTACACTGTTACCATTTTTTTTTGTTTCCGTGGTGCCGCGCACTCGTGCCTCGGAACTCAAAACACCTAGATGGGGTCTGATGGTTTGTATCCTAACGGGTGGTGGGGATCGATGTATTGGTTGGTTCGGAAGAGACCTTCACCTTGCGAGGAGGTGCACGTCAGTTGGGGTTAAAGTGGGTAGGATAGCAGGGGCAGACGGCAGCGGCAGCCCGGGAAGCATTTCAGTATGGTAGGTAGTGCTCCTCCACCGGCTACGAAATAGCCGTGCTGACGGAGTAGTAAGTGCATGGCATGCGTCTGTTTGTGTGTGTTTCTCCCGAAGACGGGGAGGGAAACGCCAGGAACAGCTGCTGCTTGTTGCTGCCCGGATTGTTGTGTGCGTCGGTTGCTCTTTGAACATATTTTTTGTCCGCCCTCCCAGCGGAGAAGAGGGGATATACATAATCTACAATAATACATGGTACATGCGCGGTACTAGCTGTGCGCGGTTTGTGACGTTTGGTAGGCAGGTCGATTTATGATTTTCCTAGATGACGCGCGCAAGGGAGGCGGCACCTGCCTGCGTGTCTCTCTCGTCTTGCTACCACCGCTGCTCCTGTTAGATGTCGACGACGCTGCTACTGAGAGGTGCCCGAGGCTTTGGATGATTTTTCACGAAAGGAGGGGAAATTTGATGGGTCGAAAAGTGCCGTAGACTGTATGCATAGCCAGCGGCATGCATGTTCGTTGTGGTCGCCGAAGGTGATGTAGTAGTGAGCAAGGAGAAGAAGCAACCGGTATTTGTATCCCCAGATCACCTTTCCCACATAATGGGCGTTTTGCCCATACGGTGGCACTCAAAAAGTAGCTAAATACGTACGTGGGCGCAGCAGTTGCTGTTGTGGCGTGTAGAGTATATCACCACCAGAGCGGCGAATTCGTCAGCTCCGTACTCTCTTCGGTCTCTTGGGGCGATTGGCGTAGTAGTAGCGGTATGACGGTTTGTTGTGTGTTTAGTCAGGTCCGGGGGGCGCGCGAGGGAGAGCTAGGTGACCTCTTTGCTTGACGAGGTGACCACACTCGCTCTCCGTCCGTTCAGCCCATTGTTGTCTTTGCTTTGTTGTGTGTTTATTGGGAATGGGCTGCATGTGTGGCCACGCGTAGCAGACCTATTTAGTGTTGTAGTAGTACAGGGTGGATGGCCGGGGGGGGGGGGGGGGGGGGGGGGCAATTTTGGGG